CCCCAAAACCCCAAAACCCCAAAACCCCAAAACCCCAGTTGGGCAAGTTCAAATTGAATCAGATAATGGTTTTGATTATGACTAGGCCAGGAAATTTCAGAATACCAACAAAGCAGCTAGAGTGGTATAGGTCAACAGGTGTGAGGAAGAAGTTGTTCTACCGTAGAGACCAACTCTTTTACCATCAACATCATGGTAAATATAGTACTCTCTGAGGAAGGAGTCTCCGAGCAAGACAATATTACCTATGAAATGATTAATAACTCTTCACCAGATTGCCAGAAAATTAGAGGTATAATTCTCTGAGAAAATCGGATATTTATTATATCAGAACTGAAGGAAAATAGAAATAAAATTTTCTATCTGAACAAACCCTTCTGGTGAAAACCAGTAAAAATGTAACGTTCTGACTTACCAAGATCACCTGAATATGAATCTATCGAGAATGTGCACAAGTCTTGGGAAACTGAGTTGTCAATGAACGTAATATATGCAGAAACAGGCATATAAGCGTTATAGCCAGTGAATTGGAATAATATTTCTTCAAAGTCAGATGTTGAGTTTCATTGGCAAGCTCTAGTTGATGTACCACTTAGATATCCACATGTTTTTCCTTCGGTTATTTTAGCCCATAAGTTAGTAAAATCAGCCGTTTGGAATAGTGTAAGTGAAGTTCCGGTGTCAAGAGTTCCCCCGTCAGCATCAATGCTTATTTGAGTGCTCCCATACTGCATTTTCTTGAGAGGAACAGTCCAATGTGAAGTTGTTTTCAGATCAATCCAAGAAAATGCTGACTCACTAGCAACTTTGCTTGTGTCAAAACCTCCAAGAAGGATAGAAGATGTCTCATCCCTAAAAGTATATTCAACAGAGAAAGTGTTGGCACCAATAACTCCTGCATTTTTAAGCTGTTCAACTAAAAGAGTTCCTGGCCTACCAGAACTAATGGCTGGGCCCATTCCAAGGACTCCGTCTGCTTGAAGCCCTCCAAGGTCTGCACTGACTGTATCAACTCCAAGCAGCTGCATTGATGCACCAGAAGATGAAGTGAGGTAAACATTATCATTGGCTATGACTCCGCTGACTTCTCCGACTGCATAAGTTATAGTATACCTCACTCCTGTGTTTGACCAGGAGCCACTTGGTGTATGCTTATTAGAACTTGGGCATGAAGAACAGTTATTAAGCGGAATCCATAACAAAGTAGACCCTGTGTCCCAGATGAAAGTCTGGCTATGCTTAGAGTCTCCGATCAGAAGACTAGCGTAATACTGGACGTCCAAATAGTTAGTCATGGTTACATTTTGTGTGCTGAGTCCTCTTCTCGCTGCTTCTTCCTCAGACTCAAGTTCATGTTGGTCCACTTTAATAGGGTCTCTTAAGTAAACTTTCTTTAGAGGCAGCCTTACAGTTTGGGCTGAGGCATAATGGCCAATGCCGATTTTGCCATAGTCAAGCAATCAGAGGAGTAAGGCTAGCAAGACAAGTGACGTTCGGGTGAAGAGGGCTCTTGAATTCATCCGGAAATTAGTGACCAAAATATTCATTTTATAATTATGCTCTTGTTTATTTATATATATTCAGGCTGAGGAAAAATTAGGGGTTTTGGGGTTTTGGGGTTTTGGGGTTTTGGGG